TAATAAATAATTGATGGCAGGTATTACGAGTGGGTTGATTTTGTATTTTGTGCTATTGTGCCTGTGGCTCTAGGATGACATACTTTAAAACTAGAGAAATCTCAATGTATCTCTCCTTGTAAAATATTTTCTAAATAAATAAAAAAAAATTCTATGTCCTACTTGATTTTCCCAGTGTTGAAAAACATTCTCAGTCTGTGAAAGTAACTCTCTCTATCCTTTCTTGTTTTGCAATGAATACACAGTAATTGCTGATCCACAAGATGATTAAAATCACGTGGTGTGGTAAATTTCAGTGTCTGTTAATCTGAAGATTTTGAAACAATGTCTATAAAATATGAAACAACTTTATATGCAATTAAAAAATAAATGTTTAATTTAGGATGCTCAAACATTTCCAGATTAACCCCTTAAGAACAGAGTTAAACAGTAATTTACCTCTATCTCATTAGGTGTACCCACATTTATTATATATAATTTAATTCAGGACAAACATGGCTTTCATTTCACATCTAATATTTATATATTAAACATAACTTAATATGAATAAAATCTAAATAAAAGTGTAAGAAATTAAGACATTTTATTAGTTCTGCATGTCATTTTAATTGTGAATCATAATACTGTTAGATTTTACTGCGCAAAAGTACACATATCTGTGTTCAGCGATGTCTCACAAGTATAACAGTATCCTGCATGCATAGGTTTTATAGCGTTTTGGACACTAACAAGGGCCAAATATAGCGCATTGCCTTTTGCAGTTTACATACATTGAAATTTGCCAGATTCGTTATGTTGCCTTTGAGACCGTGTAGCAGGCCAAGAACGAAAGTCATAGCATAACATTTGCAAAAGTAGACAATCGAGTGTATACAAAATGGGATGTTTGCAGTGTTTTGTAGTAGCCACTTAGTCACAGACCCTGGCCAAATTTAGGTTTCATATTTGTCTTTTGCATTTTTTCACCAATAAAACTGCACTTTCACTGATGAAAACCTGATGTCCAGTTTTTATGGTGTTTTGGAAAGTTACAAGATCAAATATAAGACTTGCCCATTCCAGTTTTTACACATTGAAATTTGTCAGATTGCTTATGTTGGCTTAGAGACCGTATGGCATACCAGGAATGAAAATTACCCCCATCATGGCATACCATTTGCAAAAGAAGACAAGCAAAGGTGTTCAAAGAGGAGTATGTCCAGACTTTTTAGTAGCCACTTAGCTACAAACCCTGGCCAAAGTTACTTTTTATATTTTTTTT